GCTGTGCGCTCTTGGCTTGTTCATTGGCGTGTGGCTCACCACGGGCCTCGCCAGTGAGCTGGACAGCTGGGTGGGCGCCGCCTCCCTCGGCGGCTGGGTGCGGGACCTGACGGAGGAGGGGTTCACCCGCACCCCGGCCCTCCAGACTGGGCTCGGCTCCAGGTTCTCATCGGGGCCCAGCCGTCTATCGACGCGGCCTTCGACGCCCTGTGCGGCCCGCGTGCTGCCGTGGCGGCCGGCGAGGAGGCTGCGGGAGGCGGCGGAGGGGGCGGAGGAGGAGGTGGAGGGGGCGCAGGTGGTGCTGGTGGCGGTGGCGGTGCCGGCGGCGGAGGTGCGGAACTGGGGGAGGCGCAGGGCGAGGACGAGGAGGTCGTGGGGGAGGAGGGCGGCTTCGTCGCGCCGGAGGGCAGCGCACCGGCCACCCCCAGAAGAGCCGACGGGCGAGCGGCTGGCGAGGCTGCCGGAACCGCCGCCGTGGCCGCCGGGGCGGCCGCTCGGGGATCCGCTGGAGGCGGCAGCGGCGGCGCATCGGCCACGCGGCCGGGACAGCAGGCGGCCGCTGCTGGAGTGGCTGGTGGACGGGCACCGCGCGTAGACGCCCCGGTCGTGCCGCCCTCCGAGGCTGCGCCGCGAGTGGCCCAACTTGCGAGGCCCTCCTGGAGGAGCGACGCCATCTCGAGGCGAGGATCGAGGTCACCGAAATGTGCCTTGGGGAGCGGCCGTGCCCCCCGACGCCGGTCGCCGCAGACAGCGTCCAGGAGGCGCCGAAGGCGGAGTCCGACCCGGCGGAGGCGCAGGACGAGGAGCCCGGCGGAGGTCCTGAGGACGAGGCTGAGGAGGGCGAGGAGGCTGAGGAGGAGGAGGAGGAGGAGGCGGAGATGGAGGAAGTGGTGGCGGAGGATGCCGCTGCTCAGGAGGATGGGGAGGAGGCGGATGACGTGGAGGCTGGAGAGGGGATCGTCGTGCTGGACTCCGAGACCGCTTTCGAGGCCCGCCCGGAGTTCGTCGTGCCTCCGCGCACCCCGCCTCGGCGGCCCACAGGCGCGGCCGCGGCTGCGTTGCACCCGCTCCCGGGCGTTCCCCCGCCGCCTGCGCCGCCAAAGCACGGCGCCTCCTGCGGCGGCGTCATGCGGAAGACGTCCACGAGGAGGCCCGAGGTATGCCGCTCGTGCCGCGTGATCCTGGAGGCCCGGCCAGGCCGCCAGCGGGGGCGGCACGGCGACATCAGCCGCTTCGTTGCCTCCACCGTGTACCGCTGCAGGGCGTGCGGCCGAGGTTTATGCTCTGGCTGCCATTCCGCCTGCACGCGCGCGGGGCAGTGGCCTGCCTGCGGCCCGCCAGGCGCCGCCGAATTGGCTGACGACGCCCGGCTCCTGGCGGCGCGCCCCGCCCAGGGCCAACCCGTCGCCGCCCCGCCAACCCCGCGGGCCCTCGGAGGCCCAGCTGCTGCTTCGCCGCCAGACGCTGCCGCCGAGGCGATCGCCGCGCTCGTGGATCGCGCCGCTCAGGACGCCGCCGCAGGGGCCGCTGCTGACGCGGTGCCTGCTGGTGCTGCGGGCAATGACGCTTTGTTGCACTTGCTGCGGCAACTCCCAGCTGCCTTCCCGCGGGCGCCGCGGATCTGGGTTCCGCGATCCCTCAGGCAGCAGGTCGCGAGCATCCTCCGGACGCTGATCGTCGACGCGACGGCCCGTGCCGGAGCAGAGGCAGGGGACGCCGCGGCTGAGGCCGCTCACAGGCTGTGCAGGGCGGCGCCGCAGCTCCTCCTCCGTGCAGCCGTGGAGGAAACGGAGCCTGGGAGCCACGACGAGCAGGAGCTGCGCGCGTGTTCCAGGTCCAACGCAATCCTCCGCGCCCGCATTCGCTCTGCGGTAGGAGGAGATTGGACTAAGCTGGTCAGGGACTTGCTCCACGACCTCGGAGCAGAGCGAGCAATTCGGGCGCCTCCCCGCACCTCACCAGCGTCGCGCGACGCTGAGGGTCGTCTCACGGCCCCTGCAGCCCAGGCAGCCACCATGAAGATCCGTCACGGCAGCGCGCGCGGGGGGGCGCGACATCCTGGTCGGAGGCCCTCGGGTTCCCCCCGGGCCTGCTGCAGACGCGGGCGTCCAGGCGTTGTTCCACACCGCCCCCCTCGAGCCGGCCGACGAATTGGCGCTGCGGGAAGCGCTCGCTGCGGCGGCGGGCGTACCCATGAAGAAGCGCTTGAAGGTCACGCTGCGGCTCGTTGGCCGCCAGATCGCTGCCATCAAGCCCGCGGCCGGATGCGGGCCCAGCGGCTGGCAGAACAGCCACGTCCTGTGTGTCTATTCCGACCCAGACGGGCCGCGCGCCTTGGCTGAGTGGAGCTCCTGCTGGACCCGTGGCGCCATCAGCCCATGGCTCGCGAGTCTCTGGTCTGGAGCGCTCGCCCGGCCGTTCTACAAGACGGCGCTGTGTGAGAGCATCCGCCCCATCTTGCAAGGCGAAGCTCTGCTCAAATTCGCCGTGGGGACGTGCTTGCTGGGCGCCGGCATGCAGGTCGCGAACGCGGTCGGGGAGCGCCAGTACGGAGCTGGACGCTGCGCCGGAGCACAGCTGGAGATTGCGGAGGTCAGGGCCGCCGCGCGGGCCTTCCCACACCGCGCGCTCATCGGCCTCGACATCAAAAACGCTTTTGGGCAGGTGCGATGGGCCGACGCCCTGAAGGCAGCCGTGGCCAAGGCGCCCATGGTGGCCGTCCCCATGGCCATCCTCTGGTGGGAGCTCCGGGTCGAGGTGTTCCTCTCTGACGCGGAGGGGAAGGGCTGGCACTCCTTCTTCATACACGGCAGCCTCATCCAAGGGAACCAGGAGGGCCACCCCGCCTTCTGCATGGTCATCGCCGTGGTGTGGCACGTCGTCGTGAACGACCCGCGCCTGCAGCCCTGTCAGCTAGAGATCCGCCACTGGCTCTACGTCGACGACTGGCTGATGCAGGCGCCGCTTGCGATCGCAGTGCAGCTTCTCGCCGCTGTGGAGGCGGCTGCGGCGACCCACAACCTCCCGCTACAGCTCGCGAAGTGCGCCTTCCACGTGCCCGCGCTGGCCAGCACCCCGGTGGAGGCGCACCACGGCGACGCGCGGGCCCTCGCGGCGCGCGTCCCGTACCGCCCTCACGGGTTGAATCTCCTCGGCACGGAGGCGCGCGCGGAGACCTGGCCATGCCGTTGTACGCCGCCGGCGTTCCGGAGCAGACTCAGCAGCGCCTGGACCGGGCCATCCGCCTCGCCGACGCCGCTCTCGAGATGATGCGGCTAGCACCTCCGGCAGGGGCCAAGCAGGCCGCCTTCGCCCTATGCCGTGGCATCGTTGCCCACGCGCTCGACTACGATGCGGGAGTCCTACCGTGCAGCGCCTTGCTGCCCCACGCCCGTATCCTGGACCAGAGCGTCGTGTGCGTCGTCGCGACATCGATCGACCTGCGCCCAGACCAGCTCACCGAGGCGGAGCTCCAGCAGATCAGCCTGCCAGTCCGGTATGCCGGCCTGCAGGTGGACGTGCCCTCGCGCATTGTCCCTCTGGCGCGGGCAGCGCGGCTCGTTGAGCACGGCCCTGCCCTACGTGCAGAGATCACGTCCTGGGCCGCCAGCGGCGGCGCGGAGGCCGCTATCGCCCGCGATGCCAAGCCGTACGACGGCGTCGACGATGCTGTTGCGGACGGCATTCTGGACATGCTGCGCGACTGCGGCATCGCAGCCCTCGCCGGGCGCGGCCGCCCTGCTTCGGACCTGGCAGAGAGCGCGAGCGACCCGCTCCGCCCAGAGGACCCGGAGCAGCACCTGCTCAGCAAGTACTTACAGCACTCGGCCGCGGCGCGCTACGCGGACCTGCTCGCGGGGGCTGCGGCGCGGGACAGGACTCGCCTCCTCAGCGCGGCGGGGCCGACCGCGGGATCGACGCTTACGCCGAGCTCTCTCTCTCCGGCGTCGCTCTTGCGAACAGGGAGTGGGTCGAGGCCGTGCGCTTCCGCCTGGGCATTCCCACGCCGTGCCCGCCCGGCGCGCAGTGCCTCATCGAGAAGACGTCCACGCAGGAGCTGTGCCTCGAGCAGCTTGACGCGCACGGCGACCACGCGGCCATGTGTGAGTGCGGGCCATTCCGGACCCACCGACACGACGACTTGGCCGACGTCTACGCGGACATCCTCGCGGAGGCGGGCGGGTACGTCCGCCGCGAGCTCTCTGTCCCCGAGCTCACCACCAGCCGCGCGGAGGCATGGCTCGACGTCTGGGCTTATGGCGTCGCAGAGCTGGCGGACTGCCTGGTCGACGTCACGGTCCGGCATCCCATGTCGGTCGCCTACCAGCCCGGGGCTGCGCGGGAGCCGGGAAGCGCGGCGCGCGCGGCCGAGAGCGAGAAGGACGACCGCTACCCACCTGCTGGCGGCCAGGCGGTCTGGCCTGCCGCGCACGAGACTTTCGGCCGCCTCGGGGCGCGCGCGGAGGCCCTCCTGGAGCACTGCGCTGCGGCGCACGCGCCTGCCGGAGGGGCCGCCTGCCGGGGAACGCCCTGCGCCGATGGCGGGCGCAGTTGGATGCTGCGCTCATGCGGGGCGTCGCGGCGCAGCTGCTTGCGGCCCGCTGCGGGGTGCCCGGACGCCCTCGCAGGCGAGCGGCCCCGCTGAGCGCGCGGCAGCTCGAGGCGCGGAGCCCGTGATGGAGATATGAGCGTCATAACTTTTTATTACATCACCTTGACGTGTAATTAGCTGGCGTTGCTCCTCCTCCTCCTCCTCCTCCTCCTCCTCCCTCCTTTCCTCCTCCTCCTCCTCCTCCTCCTCCTCCCCTCCTCCTCCTCCTCCTCCCTCCTCCTCCTCCTCCTCCTCCTCCTCCTCCTCCTCCTCCTCCTCCCTCCTCCTCCTCCTCATCCTCCTCATCCTCCTCCTCCTCATCCTCCTCATCCTCATTATCCTCCTCCTCCTCCTCCTCCTCGACCTGTTTTTGCTCTTCCTCATCCTCTTCCTTCCGCGCAGCGGCGTCCCCGTGCACGTGCGACGACACCAGGCAAATAATCAAGTCTCGCGCCACGCGCACCCCCTCGAGGTCGCCCCCATGGGGGAAGGCGATCGCGCCACCTCGCGGAAGCGGTGGACACGGCGACGACAATGGCGGCGGCGGCAGCGGCGGCAGCGGCGGCGGCGGCAGCGACTGCAAGAGCAAAAAAACAATGCGACAAACATGACGACGGCGGCGGCGGAGACACCGACCACGAAAAAAAGGCGAGGACGAGGATGAGACCAAGAGCGGTGACGATGATAACATGGCGGTGGAAGACGAAGATGACGTTAGAGAGGACGGAGAAAAGGACGAAAAGGAAGAACACCAAAACGAATGTATCCTGTGACGTACCCAACACCTTGCATCCAATGACAAAAACATGAATTTGCACGGACAACCTCCGCGTAGGCGCCGTCATGTGGTGCGCGAGCTATCTGGGAAGCGCACGCGTTCAACGACTCACTGGACAGCAGAAGAACGACGAGGGCGGATGCCGCAGACTCGAAGGGGAAATCGGGGGCGGGAGCGAGGGGCAGGAGAAGGACACGAGGGGGGCCGAAAAATCAGTCAGCGAGACAACAGCAGGGAAACGGTGGAAGGAGGAAAACGACGACGACGAAAAAGGCGGGGTGAGAAAAAAAGGGTGGCATTTGTTCTAGCGGCGCGCTGGGCACGCAGCGCGGCACGCACAATGTCGCTCGGGCGCTCCACAAGATCAGGTGTTCAAAACTAATGCAAGAAGCACGCGGGGCCTAGCTCGCCCGACAGCTTATCCGCTTCCTTCCCGCGCCTTTCAGTGCGGGAGCTAAACGCCCGTAGGCACGACACCAAGTTTGCGGGCGGCCCGCGGGCGAGGAAATTAAGGCTGGGGCCGCGCATCATCAGCAGGTGGTCCACCGCCGTCGCCCTGGATAGCACCGCGTGGACATGCAGTCAGAGGTCGTCCATGCCCCTCTCGTCCTTGAACCTGGCGTCGACTTTGATTCCGAAGTGCATGGTCTGGCTTTGGCAGGCAGTGGACGTCAGGACCTCGACATGAGTCTGCGTAGGACGTCACTTCGCTGGAACCCCAGCAAGCCTCGAAAAGTGGCTACAATTTCGCAGTTCGCAGCCCCCCAGGATGGCGAGGTCGAATCTGAATCTGCGCCTGGTACCCACCAGGCAGCCCTCGAAGGTGGCGACACGTTCGCAATTCGCAGCCTCCCAGGGATGGCGAAGTCGAATCTGAATCTGCGCCTGGTACCAACTACGCTAGACCCCCCAGCAGCTCTCGAAATTGAGGACACTTTCGCAGCTCGCAGCCTGCAGGGGTGGCGAGGTCCAATCTGAGTCACTATACCGGCGCCCCAATATCCCTCTGAGGTGGCGGCACTGCCACACTTTGCAGCCCCCCGAGGATGATGATGTTTTATCTGACTACACGGCTACACGGCGGAGCCTCACTCCGCGGACCCCCCTCCCAAGCCCTCGAAAGCGGCGACAGTTGCACAGTTCGCAGCCCCCCAGGGATGGCGAAGTCGAATCTGAATCCGCGGTTGCGCCCGACTCTGCTGGCCCCCCCAGACTTCGAAAATGGCGAAGTCTCGCACGTCGCCAACCCCCAGGGATGGCGCGATAACATATGACGGCGAGGCAACAGGCAGGCTGCAGGCAGGTACACGTCTGATAGAGGGCAAGAGAGAAGGAGGAAGGAAGAGAGGAGGGATGCAGGAAGTAAGAAAGGAAGGAAGGTCGCGACCGCGATGCCCCATTCAAAGCGCGCACCCAAAGCGAGAAGGTCAGGACAAACCAAAGCGAGCGAGGGCGAAAGAGGTGGGAAACATCTGAGGGCGCGCTCGCTGAGATTATATCCGCCGCAAACCCTACAATTCCATCCGTCGCCGCGATTTGCCGCGGCCGCTGCGCCTTGGACTCTTGTTATCTTAGGTTGTTGCCCCTTGCGAAGCATCGGCCGGGGCCTCCAAGCGCGCCGAGCTCAGCATGCGTCGGCCGTTTGCTCCGAGCCCTGGGGGGGGCATTTCCCAATGGAAACGCAAACTAAAACGCGCTGCTTGCAGAAGCCACCCCCCCCCCTCAAGTCCCCCCACCCTCAGAGCGCTATGGCGGATCCGCGCGCCAACGCGCCTAAATGCCGCTGGCGGAAAGCACGATCGCGCCGGTCGCTCAGCGCACCGGCATCCGCGATATGGGCCTGATCGGGTCGTCGAGAGGCCGCTCGGCAGGCAGCGGAACACAGCTGTCGCCGCCGCTGCGCACGCGCTCGCTCTCGCCCGACTCGACGCCGTCGAAGACGTTCTTCGCGATCGGGGCCGGGTCGGACATCCACGACGCGAAGTCAGCGCCCGCGCACCTGGCGGCGATCGTCGGGAATTCCAAGCGGCAAGAGCGGATCTGGCCCAAGGTGACGGGACACCGGTGCATCTGGCGCACCTTCGCTATGTCGGGGACCGCCTGGGACTCGCTCAGGCTCGCGACCGCGAGCTGCGGAATGCGCGAGAGGACCATTGCGCCGATTGCGCTTGTAATTCCCAAGATCTGAGACCCCTGCTTCAAGAACACGTCGGGCGACGCCGCGTGGACCGCGAAAGCCTCGGCGCGCTGCGAAGCCTGGTTGTTCCCGGCCCCGACCAGGGCGGCGCCCCCGAGCTCTCGGAGCCAGCGTTGCCCCCCGGCACGTCGCGAGCCTTGCGCTGGCCTTCGTGGCCTGCCACGCGAGCGCGTGCGCGTGGCCTTTGAGCAGGCTGCGCCAGCCCCACTCGGCGTGGTCGAGCTGCTTCACAGAGGGCACAACTTCGTCGAGCTCGAGGCCCTCACTGGGCATCGGGGAAGCCAGGATAGCGTTCTGCGGGGTCGCGCACTTGCCCGCCATCACATCCTGGAAGAGCACCACCAGGTCAGACGCGGACATCTCGTAGGCGTGCGGGGGCGCCCCGCTGCACTGCCTCACCAGCGAGCAGACGCGCGCCGAGTCTTCCGACGACGGGACCGAGCATGCGTCGAGCTTCTTCGCGAGGCTGGCAATGCGCGCCTTCGCCAGGTCTAGCGTCGCGGCTGCCTCCAGTAAGGTGTCACCGGGCGCCTTGGCGAACGCCAGATTGCCCTCGGCCACCTTGATGCTCTTGAATTCCATGCTCCTCGCGTGCCCTGTCTGGGGCGCAGGTCGGCCTCGGCGTCGCGCAACCATGGCGAGCGCAGGCGAGGGGCCAGCCCTGGGTCGACGCGGCTGCGGTTGACAGGGCGGAGGCCAGATGGACAATGAGGATGAAGATGTAGTCGCAGTTTCGCCGTAAGAAACCTTAAACGAGGAACGACGCCCCCGTTCGGCCCCACTTGTGCTTAGACTAACGAGAAGCACCCGAGGAAAAGCCTAGCGAAGGACCCTAGAGAGCCGCAAGCTCATTCCGAAACCAAAATGGCTCGGGTTTCATTACCTAACAGCGAAGACTGATAGGTTTCTAGTAGGGTCAAAAGAGAGCATCATGACGCCCCAGGGGGGTCTGGGCGCGATCCAGGGGAGGATGCCGGTGATTCTTTTTTAGCCAACAGTAACGCACTTCGTGGTCTTCCAGTTCCCAGAACTCCACTCCTGGGCATGATTTTGAATGCCAGGAGCCAACTGTAGGCCACTTCGTGTTCTTCGAGTTCCCAGAACTCCATTCCTGGGCATGATTTTGAATGCCAGGGGCCAACTGTAGGCCACTTCGTGGACTTCGAGTTCCCAGAACTCCACTCCTGGGCATGATTTTGAATGCCCGGAGCCAACTGTAGGCCACTTCGTGGACTTCGAGTTCCCAGAACTCCATTCCTGGGTATGATTTTGAATGCCCGGAGCCGACAGTAGGCCACTTCGTGATCTTCGAGTTCCCAGAACTCCATTCCCAGGGCACATTTTGAATGCTGAGGCAGGCTGATGCTGAGGCTGAGGCAGGCTGAGGCTGAAGCAGGCTGAGGCTGAGGCCGAGGCTGAAGGCAGACTGAGGATGAGGAGGCTGATGAGGCTGAGGCTGAGGCTGAGGCTGAGGAGGATGAGGCTGAGGCTGCTGAGGCTGATGAGGCTGCTTGAGGCCTGAGGCTGAGGCTGAGGAGGCTGAGGCTGAGAGGCTGAGGCTGAGGCTGAGGCTGAGGAGGCTGAGGCTGAGGCAGCTGAGGCTGAGGCTGAGGCTGAGGCAGGCTGAGAGGCTGAGGCTGAGGCTGAGGCTGAGGCTGAGGCAGGCTGAGGCTGAGGCTGGCAGGAGGCTGAGGCAGGCTGAGGCTGAGGCTGAGGCTGAGGCAGGCTGAGGCTGAGGCAGGCTGAGGCTGAGGCCGAGGCTGAAGGCAGACTGAGGCTGAGGCTGAAGCAGGCTGAGGCTGAGGCTGAGGCAGGCTGAGGCTGAGGCTGAGGCAGGCTGAGGCTGAGGCAGGCTGAGGCTGAGGCTGATGCAGGCTGAGGCTGAGGCAGGCTGAGGCTGAGGCCGAGGCTGAAGGCAGATGAGGCTGAGGCTGAAGCAGGCTGAGGCTGAGGCTGAGGCAGGCTGAGGCTGAGGCAGGCTGAGGCTGAGGCTGAGGCTGAGGCAGGCTGAGGCTGAGGCTGCGACTGCGACTGCCGTTGCCACTGCGACTGTCATCGCGAATGCGACTACGACTGCGAGAACAGCAGAATTCTACAACCGGATTCTCATCTGAATCTCAAGGGGAATGCTTCCAAATATGCTCCTACACATCGCTGTTAGGTTGCTTTGCCAGGATAATTATTTTTACGACACGGAATCTAACGGGGTCAGGAGGGCGAATGATACGAAAAAAGGTTTATACACACATATATATATATATGTATATATATATATCATCAGGGCGCGAGCCTGACCACGGAAAATTCAGCAGCCACGATATAGCAGTAAAGTTGTTCATGCCTTGAAGAAGAAGAAGAAGAAGATGGTAAATGGATCGCATTGAATTTTGATGCACACCCAAAAAAGTAGCCTCAACCCAGTGGATGAAGGCGCACAAGGGGACTGAGCTGCACGATCTTCAAGGCCATCTCACAGGGCGCCTTCATCATCGTAGCACGCACTTGCAACGCGGGCGCCTGAGTCAGACAGACCCATCCGTTCTTGGCTGTAACTTTGAGAACACCGGCCCAAGAAAGATCGTCAAAGCTGAACGCGCGAGCAACGTTGCGCCTCTCGCCGGCATGGAACGGGCATTCCGCCCACAAATGGCGAAAGGACGGCAGGAGGTGTTCACGGTGAGGACACGGGCGGCCTGACTGTCTGCGCGCCTCGGACGACGCAGCCGCTGAGAGGAAAATCACCAGGCGAAGTCTCGGCGCCCGATAAGGATGATCCCCACTCTGACAACGATTTGCGTGACGACACCTCCACATCGACCTCCTCGATGGACTCTGCATCATGCTTTGCGCGAGCGACTGCCTGGAGACAGCGAGCGCTGGCCGTGAGCCGAAGAGCGCGGCCCACACTGCAGGCGCGCTCCTCGCCCGACGCGGGACGAGTCCAGGAACGGTGCCCCCCGGGGGGGCCAAGGGCATGAACGGCGCGATGCACTCGGTGGTCATCCGTCGGTGAGACATCGAGCGAACAACCTTGGGTCTCCGAGATCTGAATCAAGGTAACTCCCAGCACAGCCGCAAGCCGTTGGAGGGAGTTGCCAATGAAATCACTTCAGTGCAACTTGGGGTCGGCGACAGCGATGATGGCCTGGAGAGCTGCTCCGAATGTCGGGAGCAGCTGGATCCTTTGGCGCCACCACCGCCCCTGGCACAACCACTTCGTCTTGGTCTTCACGGTGGCCTCGCGTGGGAGTCGTGGGACACTTGCTGGAACAGGGGCAACAGTCGGTGAGGCCCACAGCCAAAACGGCCTACTCTATGATATTGCCGAACCGCTCTCGCACAAGTGAGGACCCTGGAATAGATCCCAACGCGCTGGCGGCAACAAACACTTTGCCCCAACCCTCGCGCGGAGAGACGGGACACTCGACGTCCGTCGGCCTGCATGCCACCCCCAAGTACTCGACCAGAGGCGGTGGATCGTCAGTAGCATGCCAGACTAGCCATTTTTCACATTCCCCTTGCAACCAACGGCTTGATCGAAGTCAGGTGTGACCCGCAGGTCGCCATGAACAAGGTCGGCCGAAACATGGGCAATCGATCGATCATCCACGTAGGCGATTCCATTGATTAGCTGCCGAAGCGCAAGCACCACGCACAGCGTGGCAGGCGCGAGAGCGCCGCCCTGGGGTAGGCCTCTGGCGGGCCAGAGCGGCGGGACGAGCTGGCCTGCCACGCAGGTGCCGAGGGCCCACCCAGGCAGCACGCGCAATAAAAAACCATTGCAAGTGGTACTCTGCAGCGATGTAGAAGAGATCCCCCTGCTATCCGATGGCTGGCGCGGTCGGAAGTTCGAAGCAAGTCAAGCTCAGCTCCCGCTTCAGCGCCGGCAGCGCCCAAGAGCCACCGAGAAATCGCACGTGGAGTAGACGCGCCCCGCTTGCCAGCACATTGATTGCCGACTGGGCCGGGAACAGATTCGGACATCATGGCCAGCCAGCGGCGCAGGAGGAGCAAGCCGACAGAGATGGGACGAAGATCGTCTTCACCCCCAGGTGCGCCAACCACCCGCCAAACGACAGCTTTCCCAAGGAAGCCGTTCGAGAGGCGGCCCTGCTGCGCAACGCAATGGCTGGAAGTTTCAAACCGCAAATCATACCACTCACGAGTGATATCAGGATGCGTGAGCTTCAAGAACTTGATCTCTGCTGCAGCCCGACCATCCACGCCTGGAGCTCTCATCGCGCATTCGGGCACGCCAAGGAAGGCATCCAAGCTTGGCGCCCACTCTGCAGGTCGTTCAGATGGAGGGAAAGAAACGCTGCTAGCATACCTTCACCAAGCCTCAAGACGTATTTGTTGCTGCCCGGTCGTGTCCTGCGGGCCCCGCTGATGCCACCAGCCCTCGCGCATCTCCTCGGCCAAAATGGGTGGGGGCGGCGCCCCGCCTCTGCAGAGTGGCGCAGGTCCTGGGGCCAAATGGCGAAACGCTTTTCCCATGTCATGCCCTTCTGCTTCGCAATCTTCTGATGCTCAGCAGCGGTAGCTGTGGGGAGACATTCAAGAGCGTCGACGCAACCGGGGAGCCCATTGGGCACGGCGCACCTGATGCCGTCGAGCGCCGCGCTAGCGAAGTCCGCCACGCGGCGGGCATTGAGGAGGTCTTTCGGCGAAAAACCAGGCACTGCCGCAGCGCGAGACGAAACCGTCGACGCAACAATAATAGCCGCCGTAGTGCAACTCCCTGATGGCCTCCACGGGCGCTGCCTGCGCCCACGTCACGGCACGTGGGCCCCGAGCGATTTGGGCGCCCAGGTTGGCGGTCGAGGCCGACGACAAACCGCTCGACGCCCAATTATAGCGCCGCTCCAGCACGCGCATGCCAGACCGCCCAACGAACTTCGCGCGCCCCCTGGAGCCCAGCAGCAGCATCGGCACCACACGAAGGGCCCACGCGCGA